AACTTATTGAGTATAAATTTTTAGAACTAATACTAAAAAGTAAAAGCTTAATCTTTTTAATAAAACTTGATAATTTTATTAGAGAGTTTTTTAATTTTTTGAAAAAATAAAAAGAATACAATCATATTAAATAAATCTTAATTTTTTATAAGAAATAACTAATTTTTGTTATTTAATATAATGTCATTCAAATTTTTGCAACAAAAACAAAAAATTAATAACAACGTTATTAAATAGCCTTAAGTTTTAAGAAAAAAAAAAGCATATATATATATATGTTTCTTTTTTTTCCCTTAAAATATATAGTTTCAATATGTCACCTAACCGCTAATTAAATCAAATCATGAACTCTTTATACACATGTTCGGGTGTGTTTATTGTATTTTTTGTATTATTAACATAAAAAATAAAAATTGATATTAATTTTAACAATTGTCTAATTAAATTCATCCAATTAATAGTGATGCTAAAATTTATATCAATTTTTATATTTTCTATATAAATTAAGGGAATAGTTTATATCATTAGTCCTTACTCCTATAAAAATATTGGAGTTTTAACTTAAAAAACAATACTTTTTAATGAATACTTTTGAAAATAAACTTTTAAATTTAATGTTCTATTGCTATATATCATACATATTAATTTTTAAATTGATTTAACATCTATAATTAATTAATCAAAATTTTGTATAATTAATAAACTAGCTAGATATAACAAATGAAATAGTTAAATATAATTGATTAATTTAAAAATTAAAATATATGATCTATGTACTAAATTTAATTGTTTGTTTTTAAAAACTTAAAGAATAGTACTTTTGAAGTTAGTATTTTAATTTTTTTATAAAGATTAAAACTAATGTATACTAATTTTATAAAATTAAAACAAAAAATATAATAGATGTACTATTAATTTGCGCCTAAAAAACGCTAATCACATAAAAGGAGTTATTAATTAATCCAAAATATCCTTAAAGAAATTAAAATACCATCTTCAAATTTTTTAGAGAAAATTTTAGTTTTAACCCAATTGCATTTTTTTTATAGCTCTTCACACATAGAACTCATATTAAACCATAATTAATTTAGAATTAAATTAAGTTAAATTCTATAAAAAAAAATTTTCCAGTACTTATTACCTTCCACAAAATTCAAAATCAAAATTTTATTAGAAAAAAAAAAAACCAATTTCTTTCCATTAAATTCAATTCAAGAAGTTCAAGAAGTTCCTGCTACTAAATAAGTCTAAATTGCGAATGGCCCGCTTCGGTCCAGTGGCATTGCACCCTGGGTTAGGCTTTTCACCGCCGATGAGTTACACGTTCAAACCCCACGGAAACCCTTTCTCCTCTCCCCAAATTAACCCTATAAATAATTACAAATTGTTCAAAAAATTAAGTCTAAATTGCATTTTAAGATTTGCCGTACTCAGTCTACGCCTCATCAGGGGGCATGGAATAAAATCTTGGGGCCACATCACCTACCCCTACGCCAACAAACCTGTGATATTCTGAGCTAGTTGGTGGTAAGTTGGTAACCAATTAGAGACAAACCAACGAACTATTGCCTGGAGTGAAGCAATTTCATTTTTTTTAAATAATATTTTTAATTTAAATTTTATAAATAAAAAAATAAACACTGAAAAAAATTTTTTAATGAGATTTGATGTGATTTGATTATAAATTAATTAAAATCTAATGTAATTATTGAATATTGAAAGATTAATATAAAAAAAATTTAATTATAGACAAAACCTCCCACTGCCCTTAGATTTACCTTAAATTAATATGTCAATTTTAAAATTTAAAATAATATAAATAAATTTTTAAATCCTTTAAATAAAATAGATTAAATAAACTCTTTAAAAAGATATAAATCAATCTTTATCATTAATCACTTAATATATGTGATTTCATGTCATTCATTCTTTTCTTTTATTTGGTTTTATTTTTTCACATAGATTTCAATATGAATCAATGTGATCTCTTAAATAGTAAAAACTCTACAAAAATAATTTAGGTGAATTTTTTTATTTAGTGTTCTCAAGTCATGTGATTTATTTTGATAAATTATTAATTGTTTAAGGAGTCGTTTGATTTATATTCACATTAAAAAAATGAGATAAAGTGAAAGAAAAGGAATAGACAGAATTAGGTCCCATGCTTTAGCCATTAATGATAAAGGCTGATTCACATGTTTAAAGGAGTTTGAAGGTTAATTTGTATTTTTGAGGGGTTTAAGAATTTATTTGCACTGTTTCTTTTATGGGCTTACATGTTAATTTATGATAAGTTTCGGGGCTTAAGAGGGTTTTGCCACCATAAAACATAGAAGTGCTCGCCAGCCGCCACCAACCCTTACCTACTTGCAGGTCTGCTGATAGAACCTTATTTTATAATTAGATTACGTCAAATTATAAAATAAAATTTGTTATATGAGAAAAAAAATTTTTAATATTAAAAAATTTATTTTCATTTAATAGTTAATATAGTATAATTTGGTATATTTTAAACTGCATTATATATATAGATAAAATGTTTATCAACGTTTACTTGTAAAAAATTAGATAAAAAATACTCTAAAACTTTTATTTTTAATTAATTCATCTTGAAAAAATTAAAATATTTTTCACTTTTAATTAAGAATGAGATTGTTTTAATCTTTTATCATAATATTTTATTAAAACAATATTTTTGAGTGTTTTTTTTCTAAATTTTTTAGGTACAATTAATAAATATTAATTTTTACAAAAAAAATATTTATCAACAGTA